GACGTAGGGAATGGACATGTGGACACGGCAGGGGGTGGGATGAATTGGCAGATTGGGATTGACGTATGTGCGTTTCCATGTGTAAAACAGATAGCTAGTGGGAACCTGCTGTAGAGCACAGGGAGCTCAGCTTGGTGCTCTGTGATGACCTAGATGGGTGGGATGAGGGGGGTGGAAGGGAGATCCAAGAGGGAGGGGATGTATGTATACATATAGTTGATTCAGTTTGTTGTACAGCAGAAACTAACACAACGTTCTAAAGCAATTATACTGCAATTTTAAAAAGTTATGAGAGAAGTCATAAAGAAATACTTCATTAGTTTTAAAATCAACTTCTATATAACATAAGGTATTTGAGTTTGGGTAAGATATTAGAGTAACTGCTGTAACAAAAAGTCAACAATATAATTGCTTAAAGGACAAAGCATTTTATGTGCTCTCACGTAAGTGTCCAAGATGTGTCACTCAGGTTCATCTAGGTTCTCTCAAATTCCTTGCTCTGCCACCTTCTAAGGCATTGTTGCCTGTAGTTAAAGCTGAGCTTCTGCCACATCTGGATCTCCAGCTGGAGAAACAGGGGGAAGAGCAAGAAGGACGTATTTCCACCATCTTAAAGACCTGGCCAGACAATGGCAACCATCACTTCGGCTCACATTCCATTCTGGCTCCATTTAACTTCAAGAGGGGTAGAATATATAGTCCCTAGCTAGGTAGCCACATGTCCAGCTATACTGGACTACGAAAAAGGGGAGAACAAATTCAGGTGGAAAATAGCAGTATCCACCACACCATCATAAAGACAACTGAAAGGTAGAGAGAAAACTGAAGAAAAATCGTGCAGCAAATATGGAAAAGCTTGTCATCATTATGACATAAAGAAGTCCATAGAGGAAATTCAAAAAGAGCTAATGTACCCATAAAAAATGGACAAAAGACATAAACAAACAATATAAATGTCCCATAAACATGAAAATTAGCATTGGTTGTAACAAAGGAATTTAAATGGAAATGATTAAATGCTATTGTTTATCAATCCATTTGTCAAGATCTTTCTTAATGATCATTCTCAATGCTGGCAGTGTGGTGAGACCACTTTGTTGGAGTATAAATATCAGAGCCTTCAGCCTTTGTAAAATATAATATATACCAAGAGTTCAACCATGCTCTTCTCCTGGAACCCTGAATCCATGTTAAGAATCTACCCTAAGGAAATAACCCAAGAAATGGTCAAAGAGGTGTGTACAAATATGTTCACTCTAGCACAAACAGTTGTAAGTAACCTAAATGTCTGACAATAAGAATGGTTAAATAAAGTACGTGTAGGGAGAGCACTGCTGCTGTCTTCACGTCCCCATCTCGCCTATAGACAACTTCTTTCCACATCCCCATTTAGGAAGTGCTGGCAAGGAGAATATATTAAATTTCTTCAATCCTTACTTGTTTCTTTCCCAGAAAAAAATACCTTATTTGCTTTCAGAGAGCATCATATCAATGGGCCATATGCCACACAGATAGAGTTGGCAGGAAGCATCCTTTACCCTCTCACACTCAGGATTCTTAGGAAAGTCCAGGCCTCCACCTCTGCTTCCTCATAAGTGGTGTGATGTCTCGGAATCAAGACCCTCAGTCTCCCAGATTCTCCCAGATGCCATGGAAGTGACTAGTTAAGTGTCTCAGAATTCACTTTCTAAACTCAATTATTCAGACAGAAGCATCCAACGTCAGGAGATGGGGTGGAGCAAGGGGGCAGTTCTCAGACCCTACTCTCTTCCTCCAAGCTAACTTCTCTGGGAAGTTCCAAATTCTGGGAATTATTAGGCCTTCATTGATAAGGGTACTTTGTTCCCTACATGGCTCCCTATCCCCATTTTCTACTGGTTAAAACATGGAAGGAGTAGTGCCCTAAACCTCCAATACTAGGGGATATCTGTAAGTGAAATAATATCCATTTTGTTTGAGAATTATGTTTATTTTTACAGGAAAATGCTATATGATATCAAACGGAAAGGCAAGTAAATCAGACCTCATTTCAACAATATGGAAAGCCAGAATATGATATCTTTGCAGGAAAAGGCATATGAAAATGCCGGATAATTCTTTTTTTAATCTTTTCAAGCTTAGATGAACTGGAATGAAAATAAGTGAAGTCCTCAGGTCATAATGGACAAAAGAAGGGAAGTACCCAATGAAGCTGGTGGCTTCGGCTTTAATAGGTTATCAGTGGCTTAAATGACAAAAAGCTTAGACCACATACAAGGTAGGAGTTGTATCAGAGACCCTACCGCATAAAGCTGGGACCACAAAAGGCAACTTTTTGGATGGCTAAACATGGAAAATTTCTGCCGCCACCCATAAGGAGGGAATTAAGAAAAATTTCCAATCTCAGCCTTGGCTTGTAGGGAACAGACAAAGCAGCACTTTGTAACTGCAAGCCAGTCTTCACATGGGTTTGGGACTGGAATTCATATGATGGCCCCAAATACCTAAGTCATGAATTTGGTTTAAAGTGTTCCCAAGCATCTGGTGGAATCACATACTAATCCTCTCTGGAAATCATACCACAGAAAAAAGTTCCAGGATCACGGATCATGAGCTCTCTCTCTCTCTGTCTCTCTCTGTCTCTCATAAACACACACACACACACACACACACACACACACACACACAGGTGCACAAGTGCATGCACAGACATGCACATATTTGAGATATCGAGCCACCGTGAAAAATTGCTCATAGAAACAGAAATCAGGCAATTAGATTTGCAAAGATGGTGGATATTCAGATAACCAGATGCAGAATATAAGTTTAACATTTTTAAGTAAATAAAAGAAATTGAATAAAAGCAAGACTAAGGAGTAAGAGACTATGAAAAATGAACAGGCAGGCAGATAAGAAAAAAGAGAAACAAAATTTCTAGAAATTAAAAAACACAATGAATACAGTTAGAAATTTAATGAATGGATTAAAAAGCAGATTAGATGCACAGTAATTCCAATCTCAGGAACTTATCATAAAGAAACAAATTAACAGAAGTAAAAAAAATCTGTCATAGACATGCTCACTGTGGCAATGTCTACAAAGAAAAGCATGGGAATAATCTTTATGGTTAAAGAGTTTACATGGTTAAAGATATCAAATCTTTAAAAATGCTTTCATTAACTAAACATTTAAGCTTTTAAAAAAAGCAAATTAGACATATCCGAAAGAATTAGTGAATTAATCAATGAGACAACTTGTGTTAATATCTTCTAGTAATATCTACAATATATGTTTTTATATTATGATTTAGTATTATGTTTTATATTATGATATAATATGTTTTATATTATGCTTTAGTAGAGACATGAATGTCTATATAATTAGCCTTTGATTTCAATTTGCAAAGAACTTTTACTTATAAAATGGCATTATCCTGAAAATAATCCCATGGGATTTTTAGAGTAGACATTAATTCCCCAAATAGATTGTAAATTCATTGAAAGCAGGGGCTGAAATGTATTTTTGGTCTTCCACAAATAATTACATGCAATCAACAGATATTATATCTGTTGAATAAATATAGTTAAATCCATTCAGTGCTTCTCTAGTCTGTAATGCATTTGAACAAAATATCCACTCTTTCTTTAAAAATCTTTCTCCGGCTTAAAAGTAATTCTTTTTCACAAGTGATTTTGAAATCCCAAAACTGAAGTTTCTAGAAAGGAAACAACATGTGTAAAGACCATTTAATTGGGTACCTAGAGACGCAGATCTGCCCTGATGTAGTTATTTGAACTTGGGCAAAGGAAGAAGTATAGTTGAATTAGGTAAATATTGATGGAGTGTCTGCCAAGTGCCAGACATTGTTTGGTAACTTACATATGTTATGATCTCAACAGTCTTTTGAGAAAATGTCCCAAAGTGATCTTTTCTTGTGTAACACAATGTGTAAAAGAATCATCATTTACTAGGTGCTGTATTTTGTGTCAGGCACTGTGCCAGTTCCTTGACATACATTTTTGTCCTCAATAGTTAACCAATTGCCTCAGCATTTACATGGCATTTTCTCATAGAAATCTCTCCTGCAAGCAGTAGTGTGCCAATGGAGTAACCCCTCAAGTCTGCTGTGCCTCAAATGCTTCTTCAAGATCCATGGTAAGAAGAGGGACCATAACGAAGAGAAAGTCCAACCAGCCTTCCCCCACAGCCTGCATTAGAGGGGAATAGGGGGCTGATACTTCTACTCCCCAAAATAACAGTGGGGAGTAGCAGCTCAGTGGGGACGGCAGGAATCACAGACCAAAGTCCACTATTGTAAGAGCCTGTAAGGGATCTGCAACCTTCTGCTTACCTTTTGTTTTCACTTCATTTGTGCAAATCATCTCATATAATTAGGCTCTACCAGAGCTTGCTGGAAAAACCCAAATAAGTCACTCAAGAAAATAAAACCTAACATAGATTGAGGGGGTCAAGAACAATATGAAACCCAAGCCAGGATCATAGCAGGAGTCCAGCTGGCCTAGGATATAGAAGGAACAGAGCAACGAAGTCCAAGTGGACACAACCCTCCCATCCCCAGAAACCTAGATGACAGCTTTAAAAAGAGTAATAACAATAGCAAATGCCTATATGGTGCTTACTTTATGCCAGGCACTGTTTATATATATATATGTGTGTGTATATATATATATATATATATATATATATATATATATATATCTCCATATATTTTCTCTATTTAATCCTTTTTGGTGAGTGTCTTTGTTAGTCCCAATTTTTAGATGAGGACACGTCTACTAATATCAGAGGTACCCCATGGCAAAGCCAGAGTTCAAGTGCAGGCGATCTGGCTTCAGAGTCCAAGCTCTTCGTCGCTAGCTCCACCACCTCTCACATACTAATCAGACACTCTTATTCCAGGGATGTACAGAGGTCTTTGGTGACTAAGACATACATACGTGACACATGTATCCACATTAGTTGCACAGTACTCATAGACTGAGACCTCCCAGGAGACTCACTTTTCACCTCACTTGCCCGGTAAACCTGGGCGAGTGTGACTCTCAGTAAAGAGCTCAGCTTCTGTGTCTGCCGGATCAGCCCTGCACTCATTCGTTCAGATACCGTCACAAAACAGGCAGAGCTCCGGTGCCAGCCTCTCCCGTGCTCACACTGTGATCTGTACCTGTGGTTGCCTTCCCCTGAACCAAGCATCGAAAGCTGTGTGTCTGGCTTTTCTTTAACCCGTGGCTCCATGATAAGGAACCCTTTCCGGTGCAGCAGGAGTGACAGAAGATCATTTCCTTTGTTTGCCTAGAGGTTTACCCCTCTTCTATAAAATCCTCTTCCTCTATTCCCATTGCCCCTTGGTCCTTTAAATCCCTCTAGGGCACACACCTCTGTTATGATCATGTGAGGTGAGGTCCATGATTTCCAGCAAGAAGCAGCAGGAGAGCCCTTAAAATGTAGGGAATCTGTGAGCTTGTCTCAGATGACAGGAAAAGAAGGAGTAGCTGGGGAGGATTGGCTAATAGGTATGTGGAGGTGAGTGTGAAAATAATCAACCAGAGGTATGATTTGGGGAGGAAAGTGTACGATATACACACGGTAGGTGATAGAAGTAACTGAAGGGGAATAAAGCAGGGAGTTCCCAGACACTACTGGAAAATGGTTTGGGCTTGGGTAGGGGCCTGGAGTCCAAGGAGCCCAACAATCTCTTTACCCTCCCCCTCTCCTTTTTCTTCTGTCCCATCCACCTCTAAACCTCTTCTATTTTGGTGATCAGAGTATGGATTTAAGGCCAGATACTCAATACCAAGAAGCAGATTGACTCCTTCCCTCATGTTCTTTCAGCACTCAGAACCCATCTTACCATGAGGTTTGAGTGTTAAAGTATAGTTACTTCTTAGGAGAAATCTATCTGGAAACAGAAATATAGTTGTCCACTAAGCTGAAATTGGACGTCAAGCTGTTCCCTAATTCGAACCTGTTCATTTAAATTACGATGCACTACATTTCCAAGACACTGCTCAGTCTGCAGTCAATGAGAACTACGTCTTATCATGCAAACTCCTCTGATGGTAGAGATGAAGACGCTGAGTGTCAGAGACATTAAGTTTCGTCCCCACACTGCCTAGCTGCCTTCCGATGGAGAATGATGCTGTGAATCCCAAATAATGTCTAAAATGTTTACCCATTTCTTCCATTCGTGGTCATGATTGATTTCAAACTAAGTGCTGGTGTCTGTCTCATTACATTGTCCTCAGAGTACTGTCAAGTTTGTTTTCAGAAGAAACTTTTCAAAGTATGTAATAGGCCTCAATAACAAAAAAAGAATGTTGATAGCCAGAAAGAGAAGGAAGGTGCATTACTATTGCATTGGCATCCTTCTTTAGAGATCAGGAGAAATATGACAAGCCGGACTCCTATTACTGTTACAGCATATTGCATTCAGCTAGGATGGAGCAGAACTGTGAAAGTGTATCCTGAGGTATTTTCACTTCATGCATTTGGCATTGTTATTAGTTATTACATTTAAGATATATTGGTCTGTTTACTCCCCATGTTTCCTCACAGAGAAAATGTTAACTGTGGAAAAAGAACATTTGATGTTACAAATTATCTAGCTTGCTTGTCTCATCTCCCTTTTAGTATGCAATTATTTGTTTAGCTTCCCTTAGCAAATGAAATTTCAAGGGCATTTCAAGGAATATAAATAATATAAAAAGGAAGTAGAGCCCCAAAGAATTGTTTTTTCCTCTTCTCCCATTTTATTTTTGTTGTTGTATTCAGGAAGAGTCTTGAATCATGCATATGTATGAATCAACAAAATCAAGTTAGCTAAGAAATTGAAAATTGCACTCCACTAGAACATTTGTCTTGCTCTAGAGATCTTTGTTACGGATTTGAAGGACTAATAAAAAATCACCAGCATGACCAGAGCAGATGCTTTTTATGGACTTGAGTTGTTAATAGTCTTTTTAGCTTCTCCTAAAGACTTCAGCAGTTTCCTCACTTGTCCTCAACACCTGAAACTCTGTTTACATTGTCCAAAATGGACACTAACAAGGTATATTTAAAATGTCATAAATTGAAGTGGGGCTACTGGAGATTTTGACAAAGCGGAATAAAATTTAAAAGCAGCAAAGAGAGATAGATGCTAAATAGATAAATAGATCAATGAATAAATATAAGATATATATATAAGTAAAGATAGATTTTAGATAGATCAATACTTGAATGAAAAGGACATAACAAAAAATAATTAGCTAGTCATCATTTTCTTCTTAAAACAAGAGGTAACTCCTTTCTCCAGCAGAAATTACTAGGATCACAGGAAGCACAGAATAGAAAACTCAAAATGCTGCTCCTATGTTTACCTTGATGGTGTACCTGGAAGTGCTTTCGCTGAGAATTAATATGCAATGTTCTTTCTTTCTAAGCCCTTACAAGCCACTCCCAGTGGAGGCCAAAATTGATCAGTTTTGAAGAGACCAAAATAGGTAAGAAACAGCAGCTAATAAGCTTCCTGGTGTCACTGGGATGACTGTTTGTTGCCATCTTCTTCAACTGCATGAGTAGGTGCAAATGGGGCACCTGCCCCCAGCCTTGCCCTCTCCCTGCCCATCTCAGTTGGAACACACCCCTGCTGGGCATGCCCAGTCCCATTCAGCTTAAGGCCATCTTGCCATCTGCTTCCTCAGTTTCTGGTGTTACCCACAATTTATTTTCCTCTCATTAATGAGTGATGATACAGGATAAGAGGCAGAATCAAGCCTACTAGTTTAGGACAGTGCTGTGCACTTTCTTCTTCCCCCATTAATCACAAAGAGATACGCTGGTTTCAAAGCCCGCTCCCCCATTGTGAATTATGTAAACTTGAAAAAGCTTGTTGAGCTCTGAGCCTCAGTGTACTCCTCTGTAAGATCAAGGTGTATATTATCTCTCTCTCCAGATTGTTGTGAAGTAGAAATGAATAAGTCACATGAAAATACCTAAAATAGTATGTGGCACACAGTACACAGTCAATAAATGGTTATTACTACCATTCATTTATTCATTAATTCCACAAACATATTTTTTAGCTTTCCCCATGTATATGTTATTGATATGTGAAGTTATGAGGATATAGAAAAATAAGAAAAGATGCTGACCTTTCAAAAAGCTCCTATTCTAGCCAAAGAAACAGACACGTAGTTAAGTACCTACTGTCCGTAATACATAATCAAAATGTGTCCAAAAAGGCATATGTGTAATTAGAGTTTGAAAATAAGAAGAGAGAAAAAGAAGGTAGGAAAACTACTTCAAAAAATGATGAATGCATCTTTTTAATTTTGATGAAAATCATCAACCCACAGATGCAAGGAAAACCTCAACCAATCCCACGCAGGAAAATACAAAGAAAATTTTGCCAAGACATATATAGTTAAATTGCAGGAAAAACAAAGATAAAAAGAAAATCCTATAAGCATTCAAAGAAAAAAAGACACATTACAGGGGAACAACATTAAGACTGATTTCTGACTTCTGATTAGAAATAATCCAAGCCAGGAGACAGTGACTTACATCATTAAATTGCTGAGAGAACATTAAAAACTTTTTAACTTAGAATTCTATATCCAGTGAAAATGTTTCAAAACTGAAGATGAAATAAAGATATGTTCAGATAAACAAAAGTAGAGAGAAGTCACAGCCAGCAAATCCACACTGCAAGAGATGTTAAAGAAAGTTCTTCAGGCTAAAGGAAACAATACCAGAAGGAGAGACATATCTACAGGAGGAAATGAAGAGCATAAGAAATGGTAAATTTGTGGGGAAATATGATAGACTATTGCTTTTCTTTAATTTCTTTAAAATTGATAAATAATGAAGTACTGTGGGGTTAGTAACGTATTAATAATACATGTCATATATTTAACAATAGTTGTGCAAAAGAAAGGGAGGGAGATAAATGGACATATACTGTTATAAGTCTCTTACATTAAACATGATGTAATATAATATCAATTTAAGATAGACTATGAGAGGTTAAGGACACATATATAATGCCTACAGCAACTACTAAAAAAATAAATAAAGTAGGATAGCTAAAAGTTAATAGAGGAGACAAAAATGGAGACATAAAAATATTCACTAATTCGGGGCTTCCCTGGTGGCGCAGTGGCTGAGAGTCCGCCTGCCGATGCAGGGGACACGGGTTCGTGCCCCGATCCGGGGAAATCCCACATGCAGCAGAGCGGCTGGGCTCGTGAGCCGTGGCCGCTGGGCCTGTGCGTCTGGAGCCTGTGCTCCGCAACGGGAGAAGCCACAGCAGTGAGAGGCCTGCGTACCGAAAAAATAAATAAATAAATAAAAGAGACGTCTAATGGAAAACTTAATGATTTTTTTTAAAAAAAATTCACTAATTCAAAAGAAGCTAAAAACACAGGAATAGAAGAAACAGAAAATAAATAGCAAAATGGCAGATTGAACTCATCAATATGAATAATTGCATTAAATGTAAATGGATACACAAAACAATTGAAAATCAGAGATTGTCACACTGGGTAAAAGGGGGAAAAGATACAACTACAAGAAACAGTTGAAATGGAAAGATATGGAGGGTTAAAGGTAAAAGAATAGAAGAAGATATCCCATGCAAATGTAAACATCAAAAGTTGTTGTGGCTACATTAATATCAGACAAAATGGAGTTCAAAGCAAGAGATATTACTGGAAATAAAGGAAAATATTTGATAATGATAAATGGGTCAATTCATTAAAAGACATAACAATATTCAATGAGTGTGTATCTAGCAACAGAGCTTCAAAAGACACGGAACAAAATCTGGCTGAACTAAAAGGGGAAATAGATAAATACATGCTTATATTTGGAGATTTCAGCACTCCTCTCTCAGTAACTGATAGAACAAGTTGTTCTACAGAACAACTGACAGAACTGATAGAAAAGCAGTACGGATATGGAAAAGTCAAATAACACTATCAGTCAACTTGGCCTATGTGACATTAATATTTCATCTACCCAGAGCAGAATACACATTCTTTTCAAGTACACATGGAACATTCACCAAAATGAGCCATATAAACCAAATCGTCTCTCTACTTTTGTTTCAAACCAATAAAATTACACAGTGTGCTTTCTGATCATAGTGAAACATAAAGCAGAGAAACAGCACCAGAATTTTTGTTTGAAAAGATTAAGAAAATTGATAAGCCTCTCGGAAGACAATTTTTAAAAGCAAAAGGAAAGAAAAGAGC